TCTGTCCTTGGAGATATTTGGATTACTTCCCAATTATCTCCAGGACAGAAGACTCTGTGGAACTGGTTTTGGGAAGAAAAGCCATGCTTCATTTGGTTACAAAGGACTACGATCTATCGTTTGAACCACTGGACCAATTTGTATGATTTGGCGTATGTTTGTATTTGGAGCATGTTGATTCTGAAAATGTAAGTTTTATGTGAATGTGATGCATACTTTTAAAGTTATGAATTATGTGGAAAAACTGTATTTCTCTACCTGTGATAATTACATTACCCATTGTGTAAGGTAATTGTATCACAGGCAGAGGGGAGGATTTTGTGTGGGAGTGTCTGAGTGTATTGTACGTGTTTATTGGTTGTTTTCCAAAACCCTGTCGGTGGTACTAATGTGTATATAAGAACAATAAACCCACAGCTCTGTGTGTTCTTGCTTGACTCTCAAAACGGAGCCTTGTCTCGTTCTTTGGGGGATTTATTGTATGCTGTTCCAGTTCGACTGCTAGGAGTATAAACCTATTTGTATGTTTTTTCCTATTCAGCTGTTTACAGCTTTCGTATATTTGAGAGCAATCATATGCTTCTCCGGTTCGGTGGATTGGTGTCTACAGTAGCTGCCTATGTCTCTGGAAGGAGATCTTCTAAACGGCGGTTTAACCCTTTTATGCCTGGGGGTGCCGTTACAAAGTTCATCCTTTAATAAAATGAAAAGTTTATGAATATAAAAAACTCTTGGTGGTGATGTTTCTTCACACACACAATTTTTTTTAACAGTTTTTATGTATTTATTGCCATATCCATAGGTCTTTTAATTGAATATTAAAACTGTCCGAGGTTCCTAAATCTTTTGTGACAAGGGTACATGTCTGTCACGGGATCAATCAATCAATATCCAAATAAGGGAAGTTCCTTATGTAATGACACTAGTGAGCTAAAACCTGTCAGAGATCTAAACACCGATTAACAGTAGAGTAACATGTACACTTTGTCAATTTTTTATTTGAGGCACCTTTTGGCATAGTAAATAAAAAAAATATATTCTATTGTTACAAACCATACAAAGCGAAACATGTAGAGACATAATAAATAAATAAACACATAATTTCAATCTTCTTTGAATAGCTCTGTTGTTCCTGAAAGTGCTGGAAACTCCTTCAGTAAACATTCTGCTTGTAGGAGAATATCGAATGGAGACAAATCCAATCTCTCTAAGAGAATCATTGATCATTTTCAGATTAAATGGGAGGTAAACTTTTATAAACAGGAACATTTTCAAAACGTTTGTAGAATTGCTCAAATTTGTTGCAGAGTCTGTCAGAGAAACTTCAAATAGAATGCCCAGAACCAAGAAACATGCAGAAGGAGACATTAAAAAGAGAGTGCCTTGAAGGACCCCATTTCTTAATTGTAAACATTTTTTTTAAACACACAAATATCAGCGACAATGGGGGTAATGGATAAAAGGTGCTGTGTTTTGAAAAGTGGTCTAAAGTGCTAAAAGTGGGGCAGTCACCATGGAAAACAGCAGGTATATTGTATCCTGTAACACTGCACCTTTTCCATGTGTGCGCCACTTTTCAGAACAGACACTTTTAAAATTTATTTTTATTCATAACCCCTAGCTTATATAAACTACTTCGGCTTAGTAAGTTTTGGTCAGTCAACAGCAAATTAAAAATTAGAAGAAATAAACTATTTTTGTCAAACATTTATGACTGTTTTCTACTCACTATGACCGAAACTGTGGCAATAGTAAAAAACTACTGTCAATAGTGACTCATGGGACAAAACTTTTTTTTTTTTTCCATCAAAAATCACATGGTATGCATTGCTGAACGAAGGGATTTCCCTATGAGATATGCCAGTTCCCTTTGCATAGAGGAAGTGAAAGTGTGACTGTACATAGGTAGGAGATTCCCATAGAGCATCACCTATAACATCACACACAAAATGGAATAACCAAATTTTGTAATGTTATCACGTGACAAATAGGGAATGTGAGTGGCAGTAATAAATAGTAAAAAAAAAAAAGTACCAGGAAACAAAATATGCATCATTGTCAAACTATGGAGGAAATGAAAGCTCTAGCCCAATCCCCAATGTAAACAGTACATTTCACATTTTACAATACAAAACTCTCACATTACAGAGGGAAACTGAACACCTTAGCTATGGACACAATATTAAAATGGGATTTTTGACACATGTGCTATTATCAGTCGGTCTTATCATGGCGGTTTCGCTTGAAGAAAACTCTTTGGCAGTGCATTTCTAAAATGTAAAAGAAAGAAAACACAATGAATGTCAATATCTGAAGAAAATTACCTTAGCCAATCTAATGGGGAATAGGGGAACGCTGGGTGGCTAGTGTGCGCTCATACACTCCCCATAGAGATTCTTCGAGTCAATGTATCTGTATGAAGAAATGCTGATTGTTGCATGCGCAGTAACCCCACAATGCTTTAAGTTACAGCCACTAGAGGTGACTTTAGAATTTAACCTTTTCCCAGCAAAGGCTGCGTTTATCCTGCTCGGGCTGCAGGGACAGTATCTTTCATCAAAACCATTACTTTAAGCTGTAGTGTTTCTGGTGCTAAGAGTATCCATCGAAAGCTAAAATAAACATTTTCTCTTATTCGTCGGAGAATTTGAAACTGCTAACTTTTTCTGCTTCTCTGGCAACAACACTTAGCAGCCTGTCTGTGCCCTCACTTTGTGTTACATGTCGATAGCTTAAAATTTAGCTATCAAAGTTAAAAAGCTAAAGGATATAACTTTTAACAGATCTAGATAATTAACAAACATTATTTTAGATGTAGATTTAGGGATGGTTTTCCTTATAATGGCCTTGTTTTAATATTTTTTTGATAAACTGAAAATTATTTAATATTTTGAAAATATTTTAATATTTAGATATAATTTTTTAAGTATTGATTTTATTTCTATATTTGATACAGAGTTTTATCTGAGCAGACAAAGATATCTGATATTCAAGGATGTCGTAGAATAGTACATTTCTCTAACAACTTACCTGATATTTGTGCGGTTTTATGTATCCTTGGCAGGTGATGATGAATACAATTAAAACTAAAATGATGAATATTACAGTAATAGGCCACACCCAGACCATTATGTCTTGCAATGGAATCTCCTCTCCTGTTAGATGGAAAGCAAAATGATTGTTGGTTAGTAGAGAATCATATTAAATAGCATTCAATTAATCAAGCAAAATTGCTGAATGAATATCTTAGAGCAGGGGATAGACAACTTTGGGCACTCCGGAGGTTGTGAACTACATCCCCCATAATGCTGGTATTATTCAGTCTGATGTGTTACATTGTCACCCTGACACTCAGGATCTCTCTGGGGGCATCTTTATTCATTCTTCATCTTTTAAAAGATTTGCAGCATCAAGGAGTGGAAGACTCTTACTGAAAGAGTATGGCACAAATCTCCTTGACCTCTGTGTTTAAAAACATGTGTTTGTTAGGTCTGAAAAATAAAAATGAATGGTCACATCCTACTTAGGTAGTTATGGTGCTCTGTCCCTGTTCCTACAGCTGCTCTTTTTAGTAACATTTCATTTTGGAGATAAATATCTCCTTTTTTCCATGTGTTTGTTGAGCTCCCTTTTGCCGTCAGTCAGCCAGCTGGAATGCCCTGTTCCTGGAAGGGATTATGCGTTTTGTACAACTTCAAAATGAATTTCAAATTAAATAACAAAGTAGCTCAACTAAAACAAACTACCAATTTAGTTGTGCCTTCAGTTCATCTACTGTGCCTTTAAAGTTGAAATTCACTGACTTGAGCAAATAACACTGAAAATGTCAAAGCCCTTGCTCCTGGCTTTGAGGCAACTCAACTCTGTGACTTCATGACGAAGAAAAAAAAAATGGTTCTGGCCAGTGACATCTGACTTTCCAAGTTGTCAGATGGAAAAAAAAACGTATGTCAATCTATTAGGAGTTTATGTCTCATCAAATTGAGTGCATACCTGCCCTTGCTGGACTACAACTACTATCATCATGCTCATTGAGATCACGGCTGAAGCTGGTGGGAGTTAAAATATATTTATCTGATTTAATGGGATATGGGTGCAAGCACTTGCTAAACACCTTATGTGGATTATAACTCCTAGTAACCTCATCCACTGGTTGAATGAGTCTGATAAGAATCGTACTTTACGATAGCAAGTCGTCAATTTAATAGAAATGTAAACATCAATGCTTAATAGCAGCACTAGAAATTATGCAGTAAAAGTATCATTTATTTTTTTTCTACAAATCCCTAAATCTCAATAAAATGACCTATTGACATTTAATTTTAATTTACGTGGAAGTAACAAGAAAGTAAGTGCTGGGTGAAAAAAAAAAAAGGGGGATGGATCTACACTAGCTTAAGGCTACGTCTGCATTAATGAAAAGTCATTTTTTTTTTTAAAGCAATGGTTATTGATTTAAAAATGGCCGTTTGTGGACACAGAGGTTCCCTTGATTTTCTAAATTATATATCCACAATACGTTTAGAGAGAGAGAGAGAAAGAATGCAGATTGTGAGCTTTGGAACCTACTGGTAGAATCAATGGACTTTGTGAGGTAGGTGGCTTCTTTGAGAGCTGGATGGTAAATGGTGCAGGTCACTGTTGTGTCCCTCTGGTGCCGTGACAACCTTTGTGTAAAGTTACTAATGACAGTAACACTGTGATCAGGGTGTTCGATCGTGTATGTCTGAGGGATCTCCTGGGACGTGTATGGCAGGCTCCACTCGATGCTCGGTGCTGGTCTTCCAGTTACAGAACAAGTGATAATATAGGTTTCATTCAAACCCGATGTGCTGGACATAGGGTATACTTCCAGATTGGGCTCTGATATGTTCATTTCTAAATATTAAAGATCAAGCACATGATAAAAGTGAATATTGTACCAAAATTGTGACCAAAACCTAGGATATAAAAGAGTCAGCACAATTAATATTGCAGCCTGCTGTTGTGGTCCACAGTAAAACAAATTTAAAGTGCATAGACTTTCACCCAGTCTCCACTCCTTCAAAAAATCTTTGAAAACATACTTCTTCAGGAAAGCGCTACGGAATATGCTGGTGCTATATAAATACCAGTAATAATAATAATAATAATTTAAACTGTTAGGGGATTTTAATCCTCCCCTCCCCCCATGACTCCTCTCCTGCAACTGTCAAAAATAACCTTAGTTCTCAGTGAAACCTATTTCATTACCCCTACTTGTAGCCTTTGTGTCACTATACCCCACTCCCTCTAGCATGTAAGCGCATTGAGCAGGACCATCCACCTCTCTGTTCCTGTGTATCCACGTACAATTTTGTGTCTGTTAGTCCACCCATTATACAGCGCTACGGAATTTGCTGGCGCTATATAAATAAAATAATAATAATAAAAAACATCAAATAATTGAAAAGTTGATGGTTCGTGTGGCATCCTGAGCCCACTCTCAAAACAAAATGGGAATTGGAGGCACATGCAGAACATGCATTTCTAAGCAGTGTTGCTGCCACAAAGACCAAAATCTATACAAAATACAGTATTACAAAGGAACAGCGTGCACACAAAAACAAATATACCGTTTTGTTTTTCATAAGGCTACTTAAATCACCTAAATTAGCAAACAAATAAGGGGATTCAGTTTCACCATTTGGCCATATCGTGCTCGGCCCACCACTACGTCAACGTAACCCACAGTTAGCCCACTCTCAGCTATGACAGAGAATTGAAAGTAATTTGTAACAATTGCTGCAGCTTTAAGTCTGCCCCTCAGAGCTCACAATTAGTCAGCCAAATATTCAGGTTGCTGCGTTCATTTTGTCAAAGTGCTCCAAGCGCTATCTGCACGCCACACACCCAACTTAACCGAGGAACCAACCTATCTTATCATTATTAATATTTATATAGCACCAACTTATTCCACAGCGCAGTACAATATTATGTCTTCATCAATAAACTACTTATCCCATAAAGCACTAAACAGTGCATTGAGGGAAACTTTGAAGATGCATACCTTTTTGTTTTACATATATAATTAGATTTTTTTGCATGATTTTTTTTTAATGCATTTGTTAAACATTAAATGTTGATTGCCACAGCTGTGGATAGTAATTTGTCACTTGATAACAAATCCCCGACATGAAGATAGGGAAAATTACAACATTCTGCACATTGCTTAACAAAAACTCCAATGATTATGATTATGGACAAGAAAAAGTCAATTAAGCATGGAGAGAGCATTTTTGCAGCAATGCCTCACACAATCACACATTTAGAGCTAATTAACATCTAACACACTTTCTTCATCTCATACACACAAAACCTTACCATAGACATCTAGGCAAATGAGTGCATCCATTGCTCCCAAAGGGAAGATATTAAAAATGCATTTAAAACATCCTTGATCTTCAAGATCCACTGATCGGATTGTAATTGCCGACACATTCGGTGTTATTTCAGTGAAATTGGCTATGCGATTTGAATAATATCCAATGTATCTTTTTCCAAATGATTTGCTAGAAGTAGCGACTGGTCCAACGTTATCACCCGACTCCTTCTTCCATGAGACTTGCTGCACATCTGGCTTCGTACTGGCTATAAGTTGGCATTCAAGGGTCACATCATGTCCTACAGCTGCCAATTGCTTCTCCATGCTAATTACTTTCAGTGAACCTGTGACAACACAATTATTCCTTATTAAGAAAAAAACAACACACAAAATGATAGCAACATTTATATATATAAAGGGAATCAACACAGTAAAGGAGGAGACTATATTTAAAAGAAGAAAAACTACCACAACAAGAGGACATAGTCTTAACCCCTTAACACCGTTAGGGCGTACTATGCCGCTCCATATTAAGTGAGCCTAAACGCCGTTAGGTGGCCCTAATGATTGTTAGCTCCCTGGCCGCAATTTACTTACCTGGACTGGCGATCCGCAGAGATCCCAGTCTGGGGGGACTGCCTCTCGAGACAGGCAGTCCCCCTGCTACCTTTCCGACCCTCTTGGGCCATGTGATCGCGACGGACGTTGCAAATCACATGGCCACAAAGCAGTCTATGAGACTGCCTGCAGGGGCACTGCCTGAATGTTCAGGCAGTCCCCATGGTGTCTGAAATTAAAAATAAATTTAAAATCATACATTCAAATAATATATTATAAGTTAATTAAAACACCTTATTAGCATATTATACATATATAAAAATATATATTATTTAATTCTTACTGTATTCTGGTATTAATATATGTATAATATGCTAATAAGGTGTTTTAATTAACTTATAATATATTATAAATATATTAAAAAAATTTAATGTCATAAGCGTATCTTAATATAAATTTGTAATGATGATGATATCATCAGTGAAAGTGCAGTTTTTTTAATGAAAAAAAAATTATTAACGTTAACTTTGGCCAGTGTTTGTGACTAAGTGGCTAATAAAAGAGACTGGACATAACCCATTCTGAATACCCTTGGTTGTTTACTTTTGTGAATGATATGCCATGGTGGGGGTAATTCTCATTCCTGGGCTACCATATGGTCTCAAAGGCAACATAGGCCACCTAACTAATCTGGCAAACTGAAGTGGTATAGCCCTATATTTGCCCCTGTAAACTTCCATAACCCCAGAAAACCTGTACTGTTTTTCTCGTGTGACATCGCTGAAAACAAATATGAGTGTTTTAAGGCAGTAAAACTTAAAATGATGATGATATCAGTGTAATGGCATTTTATTTTGTGAAAAATGCAAAAAACTAATATGAACGCTAATTTTAACTAGGGTTTGTGACTAAGTGGCTACTAAAAATGACTGGACTTATCCATTTTAAATACCCTGGGTTGTCTTCTTTGGAAAATGGTATGCCATGATGGGGGTAAATCTCATTCCTGGGCTGTCACACAGCCTTAAAGGTAACATGATTTTACAAAGGTAAAATTAAATGGGCAAGCTCTGTATTTGACCCTCTAACTTTCCAAAGATCCATAAAACCTGTACATGCATGGTACTGTTTTACTCATGAGACATCGCTGAACGCAAATATGAGTGTTATAGAGCAGTAATATGTATAATGACGATGATATAATCAATGAAATTACAGTATTTCTGTGAAAAAAACTAATATGAACGCTAACTTTGGCCAGGGTTTGTGACCAAGTGGGTACTACAAAAGACTGGACATACCCCATTTTGAATACCCTGGTTTGTCAACTTTTACAAATGGTCTGCCATGCTGGGGTTAATTTTCATTCCTGAACTGCCATACAGTCCCAAAGGCAGCATTGACCGAGCAAACCAACCTCGCAAATTTCAAAGTGTTAAAAAGTGTAAAAGAGGATAGCTCTAAATTTGACCCTGTTACTCTCCAAAACACCATAAAACCTGTATATAGTGGGTACTTTTGTACTTGCGAGACATCGCTGAATACAAATATGTGTAATTTATTGCAGTGAAAACTATCAGTATTACGAAATTAATAGTTAAAATGCCACACAGAACTTAAAAAAATAACAAAAGTTCTTAAAAAATTTTTAACTTAAGTTTTAAAAAATGTATTCATATTAAATTATGTTTCATATATAAATATTTGATATGAATTGAAAGCTCTGTTTCTCTAGAACAAAATGATATATAATAAGTGTGGGTGCACTTAACCCCTTAAGGACACACAACATGTGTGACATGTCATGATTCCCTTTTATTCCAGAAGTTTGGTCCTTAAGGGGTTAATATGAAAGAGTTGAATTACGCCTGAAAAGACATAAAGCGCAAATTCCAGGTTTTGTTTACGTTTAGTTTTGATCACAACTTGTACAACTGACTTCATCCTTAAGAAGTTAACTTAGAGGAGCATAGGTTTAAAAATAATTTCAGGAAGTATCACTTTACAGAGAGGGTAGTGGACGCATGGAATTGCCTTCTTCTGGTAGAGGTTAACACAGTGAAGAAGTTTAAGCATAAGTCTCTCCTATATATAACATAAGGCCAGGTACCTAATGAAAATATTTAGAAAACTGGGCAGACTAGATAGGATGGATAATTCTTATCTGCCGTCACATTCTATATTTCTATGTCTTGCACTCTAAATATGTACTTAACATTTATTGGATCCTTAGCCGGGACACTTTATAACGATTAGTACTGAAAGAAAAACTGATCAACTCCCGTGACGATCCGTCTTTGACTGCTGCCATATAAGTGATCCCAAGTATGGTTAATGGCTTTCCTGACCAAAGATCGTTATGCACAATGTATACACGTGCCGTTAGTTGTTTAGAATGAGCTTCCAGACAAAGCACTGCTCCAACGAAGATTGTTTAAAAGGCTGTACTCGGGCAGACACCAACACAGGGATTGACAGTTTTACTTTAAGCACAAGAAATGGGTTCCAAATCATATACTTGCAAACAAAAAAATACTTATAAGTCCTGAGTGTAAGCTTAAAATCTAGAATTTAATTTTGTAGCAGTTTTATGCAAAGTTATTAGCAAAATAAATCATCCTCTTACAATATGATGGAGAAAATATAGGTTGTAAAAGAAGTATACCAGTAATGTTATTGGTCGGATAATGGAAAATGGATAGCGATAAAGATATTAGATTGGAAACAATTGGAAAATGCGTGAGATGGTTAGAAGTCAATGATTTTAAGATGATTTTAAACAGATGCAGCATCAAGTGAAGTGAATCAATAGAATACAGTAAAAAAAAATGAACATGTCATCCATCATAATAAATAAGCAGCATGGCAGATCACAGCAGGAGGATTATCCGTATAAATTAGCTAACTCCGTAAATTGGACTTTTTTTTGCTCATGTAGAACATGTGTGCATATTGAAAATTTTTATCCTTTCAATTTGAGTCAGTTTCATTCATCAATGAAAAAAAACTAAAAGAGCTTTAATAATGTCATTACAAAATGCAAATATAGATTTACACAGAACCACGGAACATATCATTCACATATATTTGAATGACAGTATATTGAAAGTCTTCTAAAAGTTTTCTAAAAGTTAATGTACATAAATATCAAATCGATAAAACAATAAAAACACACTAAGAACCAGCTAACAGGTTTGACTTGATCAATGCTAAAATGATGAACATTGTATTATGATCCTCAAAGCAACTTAAAATTTCATTATCATCTCAATGTGTAAAAGAAAAAATAAATGCTGCTTACCAAATACAGAGTGAAAGAGACAGAGTAACAGCCAGAGACATCTCATGGTTAAAGTAAGAAGAAAAAGAATCAGGAAGGAAAATGAGTTTTAAATACTATACTATTCAGAAACTCCCTCACAATGACAAATGATATACAGGTTTGCGGGACATCACAGGGTTTACCGTCACTAGATGTTACATAACATCACAGGAAGTGACGATGATTTAATGTTAAAGGGACACTCCAGGACAACTAAACAAGTTGCTTAATTGGACCCTCCATTCACCAAAACAACTACAGTTTATTGTATTTGTTCTGGTGAGTATAATCATTCCATTCAGGCTTTTTGCAGTGTTTATATTACAGCATAGGGATACCTCCACTGGCCACTCTCCTGGGGCAGTTCTGCACCGTGTGACTGAAACTCAGTGTCTCCACCCTCTGCATGAAGACACTAAACTTTCCTCATGGAGATGCATTGATCCAGGGCTATGAGAGAGATAGAAAGATAGATAGATAAATAGAGCTATAACACAACACTCTATACGTATTTATGAACTTTTCTGTCTATTTATAATGAACATATGGCACTATATGATATCTAATGTGGTGAGGAAATGTGTGTTTGTGTGTGATGTGGTATATAAATTCTAGTATCTGAATGCTGAGGAGGCTTGGACAGTAGGGATGTGCAAGGGAAAATTATTCGGTTCGGCATTCCCAAATTCGGAACTTCGGGGACTTTGGCACTTTGGTTCGGCACTTCAGGTAAGTGTAGGGTTAGGGTTGGTTTAGGGTTATTGTAGGGTTAGGGGTAGGGTTAGAGGTAGAGGGGGTTTAGGAGTAGGGTTAGCAGTAGGTTTAGTGGTAGAGTTAGGGTACGGTTAGGGGTAGGGTTAGGGTTGGTTTAGTAGTAGGGTTAGAGTAGGGTTAGGGTTGGTTTAGAAGTAGGGGTAGGGTTAGGGGTTAGAGGTAGGTTTAGGGTAGGGTTAAGGGTAGAGGTAGGGGTAGGGTATGGTTAGTTTAGGGGTAGGGTTAGGGTAGGGATAGGGTAGAGTTAGGGGTAGGGTTATGGTAGGGTTAGGGGTAGGGTTGGGATAGGAGCAGGATTAGGGTTAGGAGTAGGGTTATTGTAGGGTTAGGGGTAAGTTTAGGGTTAGGGTAGGATTAGGGGTAGGGGTAGAGTTAGGAATAGGGTTAGGGTTACCATACCAGTACGCCAACAACTATCCCTAACCCTACCCCAACCACTAACCCTACCCGCAACCCTTAACCCTACCTCTAATTCTACCCCTAAACCTAACCCTACCTCTACCCCAACCCCTAACCCTACCCAAAGCCTACCCCAGCCCCTAACCCTACCATAACCCTACCCTTAACCCTACCCTATCCGTACCCCTACCTCTAACCCTACCCTAACCCTACCCCAACCACTAACCTCACCCCAACCCTTAACCCTACCCCTAATCCTAACCCTAACCTGACCTCTACCCCAACCACTAACCCTACCCAAACCCCTAACGCCAACCCTCTCCTGTTTTGCCACTTTTCCGTTTGGTTTGGTATTCGAAATTCGTCACTTCGGAATGTCTGAATGTCTGAATTTCCGAACTTCGTCTGAATTTGGATTTCGAATGAAACGAATAGCACATGTCTATTGGACACGCATTGTGGGCATATTGAGTGTATCATTACTGATTCTCATAGAGAATCACTGGAATAGGTTTAATGTTGGTGGGGGAGGCTAATGATATAATAATGATAAGCAATGATCGACAGGTCTGATAATCAAATCAATTCAACCACAAAACTTCTCCAGTTATATATGTCATATAAATTAGGGGCGGAGCTTGTCAGTTAACGTGGCTGGAAACACTATTCTGTAACTCTTCCATGCTAAAGCAAATTGACAACTTACAGACCCAAATCATCTCAGACACAGACATTGAATGGCAGCAGACCTATCCAAGAAGCACCTGCAACCATTTTGTGTCCAGGTTGCACCATCCACTTGAATTTATGCAGCAAGTCCATCTGACGGCTCTCTGGATAGGAGAAGAGATTGATCTCCCCGCTCACAGCGAGCTGATCTTTGAGACATCCATTACTGCCGTTATCCCCATCCCCACTCTGTAAACCTTCACAACTGCCCCTCAAACGCTCCTACTTGGGCACATAGAATCCATGTGGCTGAACCAAGATGGCTGCTCTCTCACACCAAACAGAGGCTACAGCAAGGCAGAGAGGGAAAGCAGCTTTCTCATGCAATATGAAGCTACCTATCAAAACATCTGGAACAGTATAAACAATCATGCAAATACTCTCACCGTATATGGGGATTTGCCCTCCTTGAGTGCTGTCTTGGCCCAATTTTCATTTACATTCCAGGGGGGGACTTCTGTGCTATGGGATTCTCATGGGACTGCAATCCCCCTACTTGTAGTGGAGGGATTAGTGGACTTTGGGCACCAGTTTCCACTAGAGCTGTAAAGCCAAGCATCAAGGTGTTGTAGAGCCAAGAGTCAAGGTGTTGGGTCACAGTGGTGTCGGCTTCAACCAACTAAGTAATAGTCTTTTTGGGATGCATTGAGATGATGTGGTGCTTGGCAACCACCTGAACTGACACAGAATGGACTTTCCATGATGACGTAATAGTGGCATTGGCTAGTTTAAGATATGCGACTTAACCACAATTATTTCAAGGTTTTTGTGTTTTGTTTTATTTTATTTTATGTAAAGCTTAGTTTACATCTTCAAATTCTGCAATTTAACTTATGTTTGAATGACCAAAAGCCAATCAACCATATCTTGACGCAGTGCCATGAGAGAAGAGATCTAGGAGAACTTGGCTCAGTGCTGGATAGGTAAGGTCAGGTAAGTTTTACACAATTTTTTTCATGCATTATATTGGGAGTGGACTTTAAAAAAAGGGAAGATAAAAATATGTTTGAGTAATCCTTTAATGTTCAAAAGGGTAATAGTGAGAGTTGGACCATTGGAATCTGAGATAGGTGCGCTAATCACTTTGTAAAGTGATTGTGTTCATGTCACAGGGGTCAAAGAGTTCGTATAGCGCTGAGCAGGCGTATACCATCCTTGCGCTAGAGTCTGACGCATCTATGTCATACTCTGACCCTGATTTTGACCCTGCCAGGTGCTCAGATACATCATCACTAGATACAGTGTCTGCTGCTTGTGATGTATCTAGTTATGATGTATCTGTGCCTGCTAGTGCCCCTTCCAGAAGGAGAAGTGCTGCTCCAGCTGGCAGTACTGCTGATGAGTGGGTAGTGCCTCATCGCCAGAGGCCATATAGCCCACCCTTCACTGCAAACCCTGGCATCAATGTGGATGTCACAGGATTTAGCCATCAGCAGTTTATGGAGGTGTTTCTGGGTGATGATGTATTGGGGAACATTGTCGCCCATTGGCGCTCTAGGTATGGTGTAAAGGTGTATAAGCTCTTTGATAGCGAGACTGGGTATGCTCAAGCCTTGCGGGTGTACGAGGGAAAGGATAGCCACCTTGACCCTCCAGGTTGCCCAGGACATACTTGAAAACGAGAGAAATCTCAATGTATCTTTCCTGGTAAAATATTTTATAAATAAAATAACATATGGGAACCAGTGGCAAGATTGCCTGGGACCTGATATTGCCCCTGATGAACAAAGGGTACCACTTGTATACAGATAACTTTTATACAAGTGTCCCTTTGTTCAAGCTACTGTACTGTTTTGATACAGTAGCTTGCAGTACAATCAAAAATAACCATGCAGATTTCCCAGGACAACTTACACATACCCAGCTATAATGGGGGGATACCTCAACTCTGCGCCAAGAGCTGTTGGCAGTTAAGTACAGTTTCAAGATGGATGCATACCTTCTTACCACCATCCACAGTGAGGGGACTGTGGAGGTCTCTGTACGTAGCAGAGCTGAGAGCACAAGGAAGCCAGTGTGCATCAAGGCCTATAACCGATATTAGGGTGAGGTTGATCTGGCAGATCAGCTGCAGCAGCCCTAAATAATTATCCACAAAAATAGGGCCTGGTACAAAAAGGTTGCAATCCACAACGCTTTTTTGTTGTTCAAAACAGACAAAACCCGGGATGCAACTTAGTTTTTTACAGTTTCAGTTTCAGATCATTTCGGGATTTTGTACCGTGTTGCATCTGGGCGGTGATGAGAGAGAGCAGAGTTGGGGCTACACATTTCATTTTTAAAATTCCCCCTACTACGGCAAAGCAGAACCCCCAAAAAAGATGCAGAGTCTGTTTTAAGAGGGGGCAGAGAAAAGACTCTGCATTGGGGACTGCTTCAAACGATACCATACAGTGGTCCATTTTTATTTTTATTTTATTTTTACATTTGCAGTTTGTTTTTTTTTTGTTACGTTTACCCGATGCATGGCGGGCATGGGTGTACTAAGGAGGCCTTGCAGAAAACAACCTGGAGTGTTTTCTTGCAATAACAAACAACAGGCTCTCTTAAATCACAGTCAAAAAGCAATGTGTGTGTAAAAATGAAAATTACCACCACATACAATTTTTTGACTAAAACAGTTGCATCAAAGCACTCCTTGGAGTGTCTATGTTTCAAATATATACACTTTCATGGCAATAATTAAAACTGGGGTACGTGATAAGCCCCAAGCTAAAGATAGGCCTATCAGAAGAAATACTCAATTTCAACTCAAATTACAAGTCATACAATTGTAACTGTACCTTCCCAAAATCCTGGCAAACCTATGCATGGGGGCCATGGGTGTACTAAGGAGGCCTTGCAGAAAACAACCTAGAGTGTTTTCTTGCAATAACCAACAACAGGCTCTCCTAAATCAGAGTCAAAAAGCAATGTGTGTGTTTAATATGAAAACTGAAAAATTACCACCACACATTTTATCCAATTTTTTTACTAAAACGATTGCATTAAAGGCATCAAAGGCATCAGAACACACCATGTGGGGTGTCAACTTTTCAAATATATGCACGCTCATGGCAAGAAAATAAATTGGAATATCTGAAAAGGCCCCTAGAGACTGGTGGTAGAATTAGTGCTTCGAAAGTGCATGGAAAGTGTTAAAATTCCACCATTTGAAATACCCTAGGGTATCTACTTTTCAAAAATATATGGTTTGAAGTGGGTAAATTACATTGGCTGGTTTCAAAAATGGCCCAAATGGGACATGGGTGCATGATGGCCAGCTGTGAAAATTCCAAGTTGGAAAACTGGAATGTGCACCCTCCAAATAAGGTCTTTTAGCCCCTAGAGAACCCAACACACCTATACATAGGTGCAGTGGCAGCTCTAGACTTGGCGAGGCCTTAGGCGAAACTCATACATGAGGCCCCCACTAACACCATTATTGGAAAAAAACAGCAGTTGACTTGTGTGTGTATAAGAAGCTGTAGATAGATTGAAGGGCGGGCTTGCAGTATTGGATATAGAGAACTAGTCTTTGTATACGTCGTTGCATTGTCTACCTGTGTGTGCCTGGCAGTGAGTATCTTTGTATATGTATGCATGTTTCTCTGAGCATGTGTATGTTTGTGTTACTGCCTGTGGCCTTTGGCATTAAAGGACCACTATAGTGCCAGGAAAACATACTCGTTTTCCTGGCACTATAGTGCCCTGAGGGTGCCCCCACCCTCAGGGTCCCCCTCCCGCCCGGCTCTGGAAAGGGGAAAAGGGATTAAACTTACCTTTTTCCAGCGCTGGGCGGGGAGCTCTCCTCCTCCGATCCTCCTCCTGGGCTGAATGCGCACGCGCGGCAAGAGTTGCGCGAGCATTCAGCCCGTCGCATAGGAAAGCATTTACAATGCTTTCCTATGGACGCTTGCGTGCTCTCACTGTGAAAATCACAGTGCGAAGCACGCAAGCGCCTCTAGTGGCTGTCAATGAGACAGCCACTAGAGGAAATAGGGGAAGGCTTAACCCATTCATAAACATAGCAGTTTCTCTGAAACTGTTATGTTTATAAAAAAATGGGTTAACCCTAGAGGGACCTGGCACCCAGACCACTTCATTAAGCTGAAGTGGTCTGGGTGCCTAGAGTGGTCTTTTAAGTTCATGGCGAAGCTATGCTTTATGACCGTGTGTAGAATGATTGCCTTCAGGGGGTGACAGGGTGAGTAAAGGAGTAACTGTGGCAGGGTGAGTGTAAAAAGAGCAGGAGGGTGCCAGAGTGCGGAGAGTGGTGCCCGTGTGTTTAGAGGGAGAGATAGTGTGTATGGAGGGGGGTGACAGTGTGTGCGGAGAGAGGTGACAGAGTGTGTGGGGGTGACATAGTGTGAGGGGGTGGCATAGTGTGAGGGGGTGGCATAGTGTGAGGGGATGGCATAGTAAGAAGGGGGTGACAGTGTGAGAGGGTTACATTAGTGTTAGGGGGGTGACAGAGTAAGAGGGGGGTGACAGAGTAAAAGGGGGTGACAGAGGGGGAGACCTAGTGTGAGGGAGGGTGACACAGTAAGAGGTGGGGTGATAGAGTGAGGGGGTGACAGGTGAGGTAGCAGGGTGAGAGGGGGTGACAGGTGGGGTGGCAGGGTGAGTGACAGGGTCAAATGTGGGGTGAGAGGGGAGGCAGGGTGAGAGGGGAGGCAGGGTGAGGGGGTGACAGGTGGGGTGACAGTGTGTGGGGAGTGACAGGGTGAGGTGAGAGTAAGGGGGGTGACAGTGTGGGAGTCACAGGGTGGGTGACAGTAAGAGGTGGGGTGACAGGGTGAGGGGGTGACAGTGTGAGAGGTGGGGTGGCAGGGTGAGATGTGGGGTGACTGGGTGAGAAGGGGTGGCAGGGTGAGGGGGTGACAGGGTGAGGGGGTGACAGGTGGGGTGACAGAGTGAGGGGGTGGCAGAGTGAGAGGGAGTGAGGGATGGCAGGTGGGGTGGAAGGGGGATGACAGAATGAGAGGTGGGGTGACAGGGTGAGGTGACAGAGTGAGGGGGGAATGACAGGGCAAGGTGACAGGGTGAGAGGTGGGGTGACAGGTGGGGTGGCAGGGTGAGATGTGGGGTGAGGGGGGGTGACTGGGTGAGAAGAGAAGGAAGGGTGAGGGGGTGACAGGTGGGGTGGCAGGGTGAGAGGGGGTGACAGGGTGAGGGGTTGGCAGAGTGAGGGGGTGACAGAGTGAGAGGGAGTGAGGGATGACAGGTGGGGTGGAAGGGGGATGACAGAATGAGAGGTGGGGTGACAGGGTGAGAGGGAGGTGACAGGGTGTGACAGGTTGGGTTGCAGGGGGGTGACAGGGTGAGGTGACAGAGTGAGAGGGGAATGACAGGGCAAGATGGCAGGGTGCTAGGTGGGCTGGAAGGGGGATGACAGGATGAGAGGTGGGGTGGCAGGGTGACAGGTGGGGTGACAGGGTGAGGTGGCAGGGTGAAGTGGCAGGGTGAGATGGGGTGGCAGGATGAGATGGGTTGAGAGGTGGGGTGGTAGGGTGAGGGGGTGACATGTGGGGTGGCAGGGTGACAGCATGAAAGAAGTGACAGGTGGGGTAGCAGGAGTGACAGGTGGGAGTGGAAGGAGGTGAGATGAGGACAGGTAAAATTGCTTAGGGTGACAGGTGGGGTGGTAGTGTGAGAGAGGGGTGACAGGGTGAAGTGGTAGGGTGAGTGACAAGGTGAAGTGGCAGGGTGAGGGAGGTGACAGGTGGGGTGGCAGGGTGAGGTGGTGAGATGGGGTGACAGGGTAACAGGGAGTGACAGATGGGGTGGCAGCATGAGAGGGGGGTGACAGGTGGGGTGGCAGGGTGACAGGTGGGGTGGAAGGGTGAGATGGGGGTGTTAGGTGGGGTGGCAGGGCGAGATCGGGTGACAGGTGGGGTGGAAATGTGAGAGATGTGGGGTGGGGGTGACTGGGTGAGAAGAGGAGGCAGGGTGAGGGGGTGACAGGTGGGGTGGCAGGGTGAGAGGGGGTGACAGGGTGAGGGGGTGGCAGAGTGAAAGGGAGTGAGGGATGACATGTGGGGTGGAAGGGGGATGACAGAATGAGAGGTGGGGTGACAGGGTGAGAGGGAGGTGACAGGGTGTGACAGGTAGGGTGGCAGAGTGAGAGGGGAATGACAGGGCAAGGTGGCAGGGTGAGAGGGTGGCAGAGTGAGAGGGAGTGAGGGATGACATGTGGGCTGGAAGGGGGATGACAGGATGAGAGGTGGGGTGGCAGGGTGACAGGTGGGGTGGCAGTGTGAGAGAGGGGTGACAGGATGAGATGGGGTGACAGAGTGAGGTGGCCGGGTGAGGGAGTGACAGGGTGAAGTGGCAGGGTGAGAGTGACAAGTGGGGTGATAGGGTGGGGGGGTGACAGGTGGGGTGGCAGGGTGACAGC